ATTCCTGCAAGAAAATGTTGATGCGGTATAGCTACACACAGAATGATCGTTATAAAGTGAAGAAAAAGAAAAAGCGGCAGAGCAATTAAAATATCTGCTGTAGGAACAAATTATTACAAGGAGAGTGTGAAAGTTGTTATATTTCCCAATTTTTTCCATCTTTCTCAGACAACTTCATCATTGTCAACTTGTAGATAAACCTTATATTAACTAGTTGTAATAGGTTTCTTTTTCAAACCATTTGATCAAACTCATAATTTTAAAAACTTAAAAAAATGACCTTGTCTGTCTAAAAGTTGATTGCTTATAAAATAACATATATAGTAATAGCTACCGCTTATCAAATAAGTATTATAAGTCAGATATATGTATATATTTAATCCTTACAACAACCCAGCATCATAGGTATTATTGTCCCCTTTTTACACAAGGAAACTGAGGCTCAGAGAAGTTAAATAACTTGACCAAGGTCGCATAGCTATTAAAATGGATTCAACACCAGATCTGGCTGGTTCCATAATCCTATGACCTTTCCTCTAAAACAGAGTTTCTTCTCTATTAACGTACCGTAAACTTTCACTCCAATACATTTACCTCAAAATCTACCAAAACACATGTAAAATAAAGAACATATGATGACCTTGATTCTAGCAGTGAGATAAGAGTTAACTATTTTCTCTCCAGAAATACTTCATTCTTTCAGCTCTCTGGATATCACACTTAGTAAACTGACACACGCCATATGTTACATAGTACCTTGGGTCCTGGGAGAGTGTCTCCTCAATAAGAGAGCTGACAATTTCCTTCCATTAGAAGGATACAGTACCTATTTATATATTTTTAAGAATATTTTTACAAAAAGTAAAATTTAAAAACACAATTAACAAATCGAACGGCCCTGCAATAACTTTTGCTAAATGACCATTAGAGTCTGCAGCTTTCACACTCCAATACATGATTGATTGGCAATGTTATTACTGGGTAGAAAGGTCTAGCCTTCACCACTGGGAAATCAGGGATATGCTTCTCAGATCATAATGTGGTAGAAACATCCGCCTACTTGTCTTAATTGATCCGCGCCTTATGGTCTGAGCTTTCAGTTTAATGAGCTCTATCCAGCTGCTGCATCTGTCTGCAAAGGAACTGTAATCAACTGACGTTGCTGGAAACACAGACAGAAAACAAAAGAAAAAACAAAGAAAAAAATATGTATGACGTCTCTTACTCGTCATAACACTCCTTCCGATGAAGTAATTTAACTGTAATTTAGAAAAAGAATGGTCTTTATCAAGTAGATAAGAGAGACAGTAAAGAGTCAAGCTTTAGACACTGATTTGTCCAAAACCAAATTCTCAGTTAGCTGGCTGAGCATTTTTGGTGATGTCATAGTTGTGTGGTCTCAGGGAAAACAGAAGTGGGATTTAACAGAAATATCAGTGAAAAGACCAGATACTGTGTTTTAACTAACTTTATTTCCCATTATTTTTACTTCATAATGTTTAGCAGTTTATATTTTAGGACTTTAATTTGCTATCCAAACTTTGTGAATAACTGCCTTTCCTATTTCTACCCTAAAATCAAAACTAAAAATAATTAAAACCAATTGTCGAAGAATACATTTTTAAAAATCACTAGTGGGCTTATCTTTTATTAAAATACTTTCATTCTACCATCAGTAACAAGAAAGCCAAAGGGTTGTTTTTGTCAATATTCTGCTTGCATGTGTGATTTTGGCAACAAAGCTTCTGATAACAGAGGGTAGGGGTGCAGGTGTGAGCCTAACAAGTCCTTTTAAAAAGAGTAACTTTTACTATTATTGAGTTAAAAAAAATAGTTAAAGAGCTAAAATTTTACTTTTAAAAACTGGAAAGCTATTAAAATGCTTAAAAAAATAAATAATTAATATTTTAAAGACACATGCTAACTATGATAAAGCCACATTTTGGTGTCTATTCCACTGTCCAGTGCATTTCTCTGATGTTGGTATGCTTATGCACCACCGCACTAGAATTTCACACCTTTGGTGACTATTTGCTTAATTAGACAAACTCACCTCTCTGTGCAGCTGGTATACCTGAGTTAGAACTTGCACTCTCCAGGTGTTCTAATAAGACAATATGAACAACATTAGCTTGGATGCTAAGTACAAGCCAGTATCTCTTTGTTGTTTGTAAATACTCTGTATAAGCCAGATGAATAAGAGGAAATCTTTATGGCTTCATTATAAAAGCAAACCAAATAGAAGTATTTAGGTTTAAAACACAATTTCTATTGATATATGAAAACTAGCTCAGTTAATAAATATCATGCCAAGGAAGACTACTTGTATAACACAGAAAGAGTTTCAGAAATTTTGTAAACATGAGAAAATATAAACACATTAACAAATGTTAGCAAATGAAATCAGGATGTGAGACACATAAGCAAAGAAAAGAGTCAATGGATTGGGAACAAAACCTGAAATGAAACATGGAAGGGAAATATTTGTGAGGGGAAGAGCCAGTAAGACTAAAAATTACAGACAGGCCAATGACCGATGTCTCACGGATAAACCAAACACATGCTCCTTACTAGCCATAACCCTCTCCCTCACCACCATCCCCTTCATTCCAGGACTTCACTATCAACGGCTCCCTCTGGTGGTATCAAGACTTTGTGGCATGAAAAAGTGACTTGTTCTCCACAGAAATTACTCTCAACTATGAAACATGTGGTTTTATTATTCTCTTAGTACACTTTAGCAATATTTAACAAGCCCTAGTGGTGTGAGGAGAGGGACTAACCTTAAAGTTAAAAGTTTAGTGAAAATGAGTATATCGATGACAAAAAAAAAAAAAATGTGGCAAGGATTCTTTTTCCCTCATGCTCCAATGCTTCTAAAGTTAGAGACTTCTCCATTCTCTTAATTTACAGACCATTTTTGCTCTGAATAATTAAAAAATATTTGTGACAATCTTATCTAGGCATCTTAAGAAAATTACTAAAACTGAAAAAATTCCTGCAAATTCTGAAAAGAGCCTCTGGCAGATGAAAATATATGTGATCTGGAGTCTTTAAATTTTTTACTGTTATTTTCCTACTTAAACGTTTCTTAGTTTTAAGCAATGATCAAAATTTGGGTTTATGCCCCTTTAGGCATTTCCACCAATCTCTAAACTGTCTAACTATAACAATAAAATCTGGCTTATTGAATTAGATAAAGGATGTATATAAATATCCAGTATAAACTTTGTCCACAATGATATTCAAATATTGGTGGACTAATAATGAAATTGCCATGTTATAGTTAAAACTTATTAAGGCTTAGAGAAAGATATAAATCTTCAATATGGATCGTCCACAAGGGGGAAAAATTCAACGACAATTCATATGTAATACATACATTAGAGGAAAAAGAAACTTGGCTTTTCTATTTGGGTCATTAAAGATTCCAACTAAATAAAAGTGAGCAACACCCTAAACCACTTGTCTTTTTTCTTCAATCCACATCCTTCCATTTCCTGTCTCCACTGCTAGGTACCCACTCCTCGTCTCACTACTATCCTTTATATCTTCTCTTCCAAGTTATTTGTTTTCTGTCAGTAACCCAATTCAATTTTTCTTTGCTTTTTACTTCCTCTTCCTCTGATTTTGGACTTCACTGTCCTCAAGCCGCCATAAAGAAGCTAAGATTCCTTAACCCTACTTATCCATCAATTCTCTTTCCTTCTTTCCTTCCCATTTCTTGGATAACTTTTTCATACATCTTCCTCTCTTTAGTTTCTATTTTCCTCTCATTCACCTTACCCTCAGCATCTCTCCCTTTTCAGAATCTCCCAGGGTTGTTGTGGGCAGCAATAACATGAAGAACTTTAGTGTTATTTTATTGTTGTTAGAGAAAGAAAACAGACATGCAATGAATTGTTAATATATAAAGATATTTTAGTTGGCATAAATAGAATTACATATATTTGTAAGAATTCATAACCATTAGTTGGCAGAAAAAAACAAAAGCTAACTTTGGAGTTTTTATAGATTTACATTTCTAATTGCTAGTTTAAAATACTGTGTTTATTTACTTCTCAGTATTAGTAGCTGACTTTTAGTAAAATCAAATTTAGTAAAATCAAATTTGGTTTAATAAAAAGAGAGTAACTTTTATGCATCTACAATAAAAATAAAGATAAAAAAAAACTTCTGATGTGAAAACTTAGTTAAGGAATACAATATATGAAGGGCATAAGCCAACTTGTTTTCTTTTATACTGAAATCCAGATTTTGACCTACATTGGTCTCATTAGTCAGCAGCTTCTTAATGAAAAAAGTACTCTTGCCAGCCTACAGCTTATGCAACTGAACATGAGGAAATCACCCCAGCCTAAAGCAAAATGAAAGCAGAAACAAGGTGGATATAAAAAATTTTTCTTCTATACACTTTTATCCAACAGTATATAAAAATTAAAATTAACTTAATTAAACCTTTTTAAAGTCTTAAACTCTCAGAATTTTAATGAAAATGATTATCCTATTATAGATGAGATTTATAAACTATTTGAGATATATTTATAGTGGTATATGATTCACACACTTTTGTCATTAATATAAATTAAGCCCCACAATATGGTATCTCATACATCAAGACTTAGGTCTTCAGACATGTATCTAAAGTGATGTTAATCTTTTATGAAAACAGTATGTATAAATTTGAGATTAACTACAATCCATGACAATCAATCATCTTACTGATTTTTTTACATTTCACCCAGATTATATTGATTCCCCATTTTTAACTATATTTGCTGTCTTTTTTCTGTATGTATCATTTTAAAAGTCTCTTGAAAACCATTCCAGAGCAAACATAGGTGTAGATATTAACAATTAGGAAAAAGATTATGAAAGTGGTATAAAAATTTGCTATAGCCACCCTTTTTCTCATAATACAGCCTCAATTAAGTAATTTATGTTGATGCCACATCATCTATGATCCTCATAGTGTTCATCAAAAAATGTTGATGACCTTCACATGATAATGTCTTTTAAGAATTACTTCGGCTCAGCATCTCTTAATATTTCAAATCAGAAAACTCAAGATAATTAGCAAGGTAACACCAAATTACCATAAATTTGAGACATACATCAAACTATTTTGTTACCTTGAGAAACAAAACCAAACATAACAAAAGATGGAAGGAAAAAATTGAACATGGATGGACAATTCAGGCCCAGGCTTACTCTACATAGAAAATTAGCATATACATAATTGAAGCATCTTTTCTTCATATATTCACTAATTTTCGATAACAAAAAGATAAGGAAAGGTTTATCTACAAGTGAAAAGATGGAAGTATTAATAAACATACTGTGCTTAGCTCTTGAAACTACTCTGTTAACATAAAAGGAAATGAAAAATTTTAATAAATCATCCTATTTGTGATGAGAACATGAAAAATAAACTAGAGTCCAACGTTTTCAGAATTAAAAAAAAAAGAAAAAGCTCTATCAACTTAGCTAACTGACCTAACAAAACTATAAAACTATGTATTTATTTACTTCTCAGTTTTAGTAGTTGACTTTTAAGCCTCTTGTGGTTGCATATAAAAGTTTTCTGAGCATTTATCCCTAGCGCTCTTACCTTTCTATCTCCTGCCTGTTTCTTCTAAATTGCTATACTTAACTTTTTCCAGATATTTCTATCCTCTATTCAAAGCCCTTCTTCATGTTACAATGCCTAATTAGTACATTCATGTTATAACACTCTATTTATTATAACATTCTTTGGAGCTTTTCAAAACCCATCCTATCCTCAAATATTCAAAAATACTTTAAGATAACTTTCAAATATATTTGGTATAGCCCATGTCCTCCTAAAAAGACTTAAGGGAGCAAAGACAATAAATAAGCATGAAACATAAACCACGATTTACAAAACTATTTACAAAAAGGTACAGATAAATTTTTTAGTTTTTATTCATGATTTTGAAATGTAATATTCAAAGAACACAAGTTTTTCAGTTAAGCACTTAGTATAAAAAGTTTTGTGTATATATATATATATTAGTATTAGATGTGATGATATTGATCATTATGAAGATGATGATGGTGATAATAAAGGTGGAATGACCTGATTCAGTTTTTTTTTCAACTTTTTGAAACCCTTTCTTCAAACAAAATCATATATAGAAAACTGATACATAAGAGCACACTGAATCGAAGCTGCTTCTACTTCAGAGGTAGGGTAGGGGGTCCAGAGACCTATCCTCACTCTTCCACCCTTCTCAGTTCCCTTCCCACCCCACCTTCTGGAAAGCCATGAAGCACCTCTGAAGAAACTTTATGGTTTAAAAATTATTAGTTTAACTAATTAGAAGCTATTTGGAAATTTTTAATTTAACAGAAGCTCAGTGTGACCTTAGGCATAATTTAGACTTTTGATTTGTTTTTAATAACAAGAGTAGGTTAATAATTAAAGAACCATAAACTATAGAAACCCAGAGAATCGGAGAATTTTAAAGGCTAGAGAGAAAGTTAATCATTTACATTCTGCAGATGAGTAACTGAGGTTTAAAGAGCTTAATTGGCCCAAGTTCTCACACTTTATCAGTAGCAGAACTTTATTACTCCACCTCATGGCTCCTCTCTATGATCCCTAAAATGAACTGCAAATATTTGAGATACTGTTCAGATATTACTTATTCTATTCAAATTCTTCTTTCCTTATTCTTCAATTCACAAAGTAACATTTGCACAAAATATACCAATGGCTGCAAAAAATGTGAAAATTCTCCATACAGTTCTAAATTAGAATTTTAATTTAGACAAAAAGGAAAGAGAACCATAGTTACCATGTTAGAAGGCTCAGAATTTTAAAGCAGCTTATCTTTTCATCTTTAAAAAATGAGACAGGATCTATTTATCTGCATAGACAGGACTTACACTGATTTACTGAAGACTCTACTGCCATATATGCAGTGTGACTATAATACTCTGCATTATACCTAATTTGTGATCAGATAAATAACTGACGAGTAGAAATAATTTCACTTGTATTATAAAATATAAATTTTAGAAAAGCCAATTTTGTTTTAAATAACAAATGCATCATTTCTCAAAAAGTTAGGGAAAAATAAACTACATTTATTGTATATGTGATGCTACAAAATGACACAATAATTCTGCAAATTTTGTAATAAAAATTGCACTGAAATCAGAAAAGAAATGGATAAAACTAATTTTTCATTTTTTTACAAATATTTTACATGACTGAGTAGATTTACTGCTATTAAGTTAAGGGACAATCATTTTGCATTTGAAAAAGTGGCAGCATATTTTAAGTACCTAACAATGTTCCTCAATTACAGCCAAAGAACCTAAAAGACAAAAAGCACATCCCTTTCTCACGAATACTACCACCACCCAAAACTTCTCCAAATACTTTCTGAAGAAAATAAGTAGTTTGTTGTCATTTTCAAAATAATAATTTTTGTAAAGGTTTGACTGTTGCTGCAAAAAAATTTAGCAAATATAATGTAAATATCAAATAATCACATGTAAATAATTACTGAGATCCATATCTCTGAAAATAAAACTTTAATGTACTTGAGATATTAAAATGGAATACCATATGAAAAATTCCCTTAATAATTTGACAATTACTTGAGAAATTAAAATAAGAACATTACTTTCTCCCCTTTATAAACATGAAGAAACATACAATGAGGGAATGAAGAATATATCATCTCAAGATTAAGTAAGATTGCCTATAATGAAGAAGCAAGGAAAGACACTAGAAACTAGGATTTGTGTTTGCATTTCCCTTACTTAACCAACCTTTAATTGGTGGAAAAGGATGAGAAGGAAGTGAATCTGAACAGAGTTCCAGTGGAAACTGCAGAAGTTCTTCATTATCTGTAGAGGCTTGAGAGGCAAGAAAAACACTATTATTTAGTAATAATTTATTATTAATTTTTTAAAATTAAGAATCTCAGATAACATATATACCCTGACCCCCAATTTATTCTGATTATTTTCTCCTTGGTTTCTCCCATGGGGACCGTTCACCTGCATGCTGTTGAGAGTGGACTACTTTCCCTGGTAGGACTGTTGTGAGATTTAGAAAGGATAATATTTGTAAATCTCTCAGGACAGTGCCTTGCAAATAATAAATGCTAAATAATAATTAGTATTTTCCCATTCTTTGTACCTTACTAGTTCTATGATACTTAAACCAGTTATTATCTATTTAGATAGCTATCTGAATACATAATTGTTTAATATATTTGACATTAATGCACTGCTATACATGTAGAATGTAATCAACTTAAAATTTTTTAGTTTAATCATGAATATTTTATTTAGCCAGTAAGTCATTTGACTTTAGAAAGTCTACTATTTACTATTTCCCTCCCCTTTTTTCAAAACACATAAATGATTTCTAATAAGTTGGGTTTCCTTGGAATATATTAAGAATGGTACTTCCTAAATTTTACTAGATAACTCTAAGAATCTGTTGAATACTAGGGGACCTTTTTTGAGAAAAATACGTGACGCTTACTACATCTTCAGGTTTTCAAACACCTTGAGGACCTCCTTAGAGATCCTAGAATAGGAGCCTCTTAATTACTAAAGAATTAATATGGTACAATGTAAGTCTATGTGAAAAGTATAAAGAGACAAATGTGAACTGTGCTCCCATCCATCATAGGTTTACCTCTTTGCAATGACTTTTCAACATGTGTTTTTGTGGTCTGTAAGGCCTGATTTTTGTCGAAAGTTATAGCAACTGCTGTGACTGTAACCTAGAATCACAGAAACAATATTAATAGCAAAATAATCAATGCCAAAATAAGTTTCTTACAAACTTTTTTCAGTTCTATGGAACAACTTATACTAATTGGCTAATGTGCCTTTCCTAGTTAAGATACTCAACCAGAATTATGCATCAATTCAGATATTCAGACTACAACTAAGCCCAACTGAACACAGATTTTCAGAAAGAACTCAAGAATCTTGTCTTAAAGATGGGGTCGGGAAAAATCCCACGTAAGTACTCATTCTCTTGTATGTATGCTGGAGCACACATATGATTCTACCTTCAGATAACTAGAGCTCAGAAAAATGAAATATACACGGTCTGATATATACTAATACATTTTGAAGTAATATCTACTAATCATATTTTGAAGTAAAAGTTTACACTTATTTAATGATGGCAATTTTAAAATATTAAAACAGATCAGATAAAAGCTAGAAATCTTCTTTAAGAATAGACAGAATCTTAATTACCTGAATTAATTCATCTTCAGGCAGAGATACTGTAAAATTTACATGGCAAAGGCAGCAGGGGATCATAGACCGTAGTTTAAAATACAGGCTCTACACAACAGAAAATATTAGTAATATTACTTCTTTTAATTTAAAAATTTATAAAACTTAACATTTTAATGTACATTATGGCAAATGGAAAGTTTGAAAGATAAAAACAAGGCTGGCCCACCTCTATTTTGTAAATTCTTACATTAAGAATACATTTTTAATATTTAAGCAGACAATAAGATGTAATCATATTTATCTGTAAGTCATAAAAAATAACAAGGTTTTTAAAATTTACATATATACAACAGATTTTTATGAAGTTTAAAGCTACGAAATATCTTAAAATATACTTCTTTTATAGTATGGTATATTAAGATGGAGAGGGAAACTTTAGCATTTTACCTGATGACAGAGTTAAGATTGATATACTGTATAAATAAAAATAATTCAGCCCACAACTGTGTAAGGTATTCCAGACACATACACACTTTTCTTTTTTTAATTTCATGATTCTTATGAGTTTTAACTAAAATTAGTTAGTCAAAAGGTTCCTACCTTGAGCAAATTTTCACAGAGATCATTAAAGTTCTTATTGAGGGCTTGATTAGTCAGGTTAAGGCTGCTTAACCGGATTACCCTTACTGATGTGAACATCTAAATACAGAAAGATAATAGCATGTCATTTTATTATGTTAACTAAATACTGTAACAGTTAATAAAACTGTCAAATAATGAACAATAATAACTGATGTGGTATGAAAAAAGGATAATATTTTAACTGCAATAAGGTCAAAAAGAAAACATAGGAACTTGCTAACATCACTTACATTTTATTTGTTTAAAATTAAGAATGAAAGGTTCACCTGTATTTCAGATGTCCAATTATTTATACCAGGCATAATTTCTGTATTGCAACTATAAAAACCTGTCAAAATAAATTATAGTTAAAATATACGATATTTCATTTATTTTTGTGTTAAATAACATTTTCAATTATTACATGAAGTTCTAACTATAAGACCTGTTCATTGTTGTTTTTCTAAAACTCTGTATCTTTAGAAAACTTTAGACCACCTTAATAAATTATCAGGTTTTTAAAAATGTTTACTTATAAAAGGATTAAAAATCAGTTCAACTCAGTTCTAACATAAATATTCTTAAACTATATGCTTTCAGCCTTTGAAGCAGCAAAGCACATGAAAGGATGGGACATTGATAAAGCCTTTAAAATAAAGTTAGTACCATAATTATGAACTAAAATATTGATATGCAAAAACAAGATAGTTTCATTTCAAAGGTAATTTTTTTTCTGCTCACCTGAAGGAGGAGGAACATCGGTAAGTAGAGAATGTACATCTTCCATTGCATCTGTGTCATCAATCTGAAAATAGAAAGATTAAAACTATTACATAAGTAGTAAATATATAATCATTTCAAATTAAAATTTTTATTATTACTAAATAGAAAACATAAGTCAAAACACTAGAGCCATTTTTACCTAAGTTAAAATATAAAACTTTAAAAGCATTTCTAATATCTAAATTTCTCCACAGTAATAATTATAAATACTTCTAAATAAAATATTTTATATTATATAACATATTGAGTTTTTAAAAAGTTTTCTCAAGCATGGCATGTTTCAAAATAATCACAAAGGTATCATAAGTAATCATTATCTCAATTTGTTTAAATTAATAAAGTACAATTAAAAAAAAATTTGACTAAATACAGAAATGCTTTAAAATAGAATTATGTAGGGATTAATTTAAAGGCACGTCTAAACAAAATAAGTCTAAATCCTATTCTTACATCATAATAGACCACTGTGAATAATAAAGAGTAAAAATATCCAACTGGATATATATTGACTTTTATCTGTATATCGGGGGTCTGAGTCCTGACTCACATTTTAAGCTTCCTCTCATATCCTCCTTGGGACATCAAGAACCACCATCAATTCCACTCTATTTTAGCTACCCACAGTCGTGGCCATGCTATTCCCCAAACCATTCCAGAAACACCCAGACCTCAAGCATTCTCCAACTACAATCCTCTGTCTCTTTGTCCTTTCTCTTACTGAAGCTGCACCGTGCCCTCATACTTCTGCCCAAATGTGAAGCACTTCTGTTCTCTACTTAGCCAGGATCCAGGATCAGAAATATCAATAATATCCTAGATCAAACTTCAGGTAATGCTAAGAATCACTTGGAGAGTTTGTTAAACAGAGTCCTGGGCCCCGCCTTGAAATTTTCATTTACTAGGTCTGAAGTAAAGGCCCCAGAATTTATAATTCTTACAAGCTTCCAGACAGTGCTGATGCTACAAGTTGTCACAGTCCACTTTGAGTAGCGCTGCTCTAAACAGTACCCTGGATCTTTTTACTTTCTTAACCTGACCAACCTCTATTTTTTTTCTATTATTAAACTGTAGAAAAATATGAGAAAAAGGCATAAATCCATATAGTTTTAGTTTTCTACAAATCAACACTCTTACCTCAGGTAAGCCTTGTGCATCTCCCATGGCTGACATCCAGATCACATTCACGGACACTGTTATATAAACTCTTTAAACCTCCTATCCAATCCCAATACAATTCTACCATTAGCTCCCTGCTGCACTGAGATCAAAGCATCTGACTTTTTCTCCCAACTGGTACCTTATCAGAACATTTCTTAGTATCTTCATTTATTTTCCTTTCCTTCAACATCAAAGGAAGATTATCTATCTCTTTCAAAGCTAATTGTTCCACAGATTTGTGAGGGAGGAGGCTCCATAAATCTTTTGTGCCACATTAATGCTCCAGAAAAGCCAGTTCTGAGTGTATTTTCATAATGAAAGTTCAATGAAATCTTCTGACTTAAGGAATCACCACTCAGAATTCATAGAGCCTATATTTTTACATGTAAAATATTATAATTATAATAACATGTTGTAACATACAAAGCAGGTAATTATAATAAGTGATAGAATAGTACTTTAATTTCTCATTCAAGTTTATAAAAATAGCTCCAAGAGTTTATTATTATTTTAATTTTAACCAATACATTAATTTTTCCAGAACCATCTGCATTATTGTATCAGTCATCTGGTATTGAACAAAAAATATATTACCAAGTTCTGATATTTTCAAATCTGTTGTAATGTCTATAATAAAACTTTTTGATATTTATAACAGTTGTAATGACACAAAAGTATCACATCAATTTAGGATCCAATTGTAAAAATGCACATCTTGTTTTCTAAATACTTTAAGAAATTAGTCCAATGCCATAATACCTCCAAAACAAAAGCATCTTTTTTCCCATGTGAAAGGTCCAATTCTGTAACTTCATCAGAGCTTTCTGACTGAGATCTTAAAAGTCTTGAGCGTTGTCTAGGTTCTGGGATGGGTGATCCTATAATCTCTTCAAATATCTCCTAAAAAAAAAATAACTGTTTTATATTATATGACCATATTTTTCAGGTTTTTTTTTTATAAACTGCAATCTCTTTTCCTTTTTTTTTTAAAATTGAGGTATAATTGACATATAACATTATATTAGTTTCAGGTATACAATATAATGATTCGATATTTGCATACTTCAGTTTGGTTTAAAATTTTTATACTAATAGACAATACGTGTAGGGTGGGGAGTCTAATGTATATTCGAAGTCTATATTTAATTATAAACTTTATGACTAATTAACCTTTTATAGAGTATGTACACGGACATTTTCCGTAATCGATAATAGCAGCCTTGACATACTAATTCGGAAACATATATATAATTCATTTTCACAGACGTGGAGAGACATTACTGACATCTAGTACAGAGAAGAAAGTACAATGAGTAGGAAACCAGCAGTCCTTCCAGTTCAGAAAGTATTTTCTACTCAACATTTAAGGGTCCTAATATCCCATAAAGAATTAAAGATCTATGTTCCCAAATATAATTCTACTCTTCTATATCTTTTCTCATTCAGTGACATTTTTCAAAGCTCTACATAGTAAAATGAGGAAAACAATGTGTGTGTATATGTACATAATACATTTATTACACATGTGTGTAACTTATTTAGCTAAATAAACTTTGATAGTTATAATAATGATATTTTTGATGTCAGTGTACAGTGCAATCCTATATGGGTTCATAAGCTTTTTTACCTACTACATAGCCAAAATAAGAGCTAACTAGAGGTTCTAAATATCTGTTAGCAACAGGAGTATTGAGAGAATGTGGATATGGGAGCACAGATGCAGAAGGCATAGCCTATTATTGGTGTAACAGACCTATCTTTTTAAAAATGACGTTAAAAAATAAGTTTTTCAAAAATATAGTTTTAAGTGTTCATTTCTACTGCATACCATACATAAGACTACCACCATGCAGTTTCATAACTTAGTTATCTTTTGAGTACTCTCACATCCATTTATTTTGTTTGCACTCCAAATTAACCTGACCTATGTAAATTTGACAGAGTGTTTATTATAATGATTAGAAACTGATAAACAGTTGCAATTCAGAGGTAAAGCAGTTTGTCTTTGTTTGAAAACTAGTAAATGAAGAAACTGTCTAGGTCAGTTCTTTTGACTGAGTGCAGAATTCTTCCCAATAGATATCATCCTTTTTTTATAATTTTATAGTAGTTTAAACTTCGGTTACACCTCTGTTCACTATATCATGGACCTAATAAATATAACTATCCGGAATGTAATATACCTTAGATTCGTAAAGAAGTTTCACCATTGGTGATGTTATTCCAAATAAAAGTTTTGCACCTTATTTTAACGTCTTTAGTTGACTGAGAAGTCTTTTATCTCCAGTTAAGTGGTACTATGTTTCTGCATTAGAAACATTTCTCAATATATTGAGGGAAAAAAATCAAACAACAGTATTAACTTCAGCTAGAGCTACCTTCCTAAGAAAAGGCACACTCTGGTCTACATTTACAGGGTGGGCGTACATTGTTTTGGAAAACTGAAAACACTAAACTGTGATATGAGTAGTGGTGTGGTACACCAACTTCGTCAAAAAAATTCTGAGATGTTATGCTAAAAGACTAATGTCAGTATCTGAAATAAGATATAGTAGAATATTCATAAATTGATTAGTCCTTTTGTAGAAATGCAGTCATATTCAGCACATGAAACCCATATATGCTGAAATGTTTAAATTCATAAAAGATTTATTTCCTTCTCTAAAATATGCTACTAAAATAGAAGTTCAATAAATATTTACTGAATAGATTAAGTAACTCGATTAACATTCTCTAAATATGTCTCTGTTCAAGGGGCTCACATTATAGTAAAGAAGACAGACATGGAAAAACTAAGTGCAATAATATGTAACAGGCACTATGCTAGAAGCACATACAAGTACAATAGGAACACAAACGAGGTAGCATGTCCTGTGGGAGATCAGGATGGAAGAACAGAGTTGATAAACTTGGTTATACAAAAGAATTTAGCTCTTATCATTAGAACTGATAAATGGAACCCTAACATATAGCTTTGCCAATTATTTCTCCCCAACAGGCATAAACACTATTAGAGATGTTCAAATATCAAAATATAATTATAAAAGAAAAATAAGTACTACAAATATGCAGTCAATAAAGTGTTATGAGGAAAGAGTTTACAAAGGTTCTTGAAGTAAATATATTAACAGATCAACATTTTCAAAGAAGTTAAACATGTTCTACAAATTGTTCAACAAATATATTGTTGAACAAATATAAAGCAAGCCTCATAGGTAATAAACAAATGAAACATGTAATCAATATAAAAAATATTCATAAGATATTTTATGTGCTTTTTCATTTACCAAATCCTCAAAATCTGGTGTCTATTTTACACTTATAGCACATCTCATTTTGGACTAGCCACACACGTCAAGTGCTCAACAGTCACATGTGGCCAGTGTCTCTACCACACTGAACTGTGTAGCTTTAGGTCATATCCTTACGATTCCTCCCAGCATAACAACTTTGCCAGAAAGCTATGTTTGAAGCTAGAGTCAGATGCACTGTTCCAGAAGACCAAACAAAATTCAAGTCTATATAAAACAAAATAAAAACAACAATAATATTCTTATCCAAATACGATCTTTTTACAGAAGTATTTCATTATCAGAGACTCATAAAAACAAATAGTTTCATTCTAACTCCAGCATCTCTTTCAGTTCAGCCTATGTGAATTCAAACAGTGGAAAAAAAATCTTTTAATGTCTAAAATAAGATAACCTAAAAATATACTAACATCTAAACAACTTATGTATTCCCAATATAGATTTATTTTACTTACCGGAGGATTGATTTCATATAACTCTTTATTCTTAGCAATCGTGTCATTTATCTTCTTTTGCATATGAGATATATGCTGTTCATATGAGCCATCATTAGGAGTCTTCCCAGCAATCTGAATTCCTCCAGGCGTTGGTAACGCTGCTAAATATACACCTGTGGCCGACTTGTAAAAATAATGGGGAAATGATCAAAAAATATCTAAAAAATAACAGTTTTCATATTTAGGAATGTGGTCTTTGCCCTGCAGAAAAAAGATATAATTAGCATCCATGCATGTATAGGATGTATATGAAAGGGCACAGAAAAACACAACTGGTAACAGGGGTTGGTTACTTCTGGTGAGAACCCTGGGTAGATGGGGACAGCAGTGAAAGGAGCATTTAGTTTTCACTGCATACCCAACTGTATTATAAAATTGTTTACTTTATGATTATAAAAAAGTTTAGAAAATAAAGATAAAAAGTTGTTAAAAGTAAATTTGTCATGTATAAGTAGATAATTTACCTTTTATATGGCAAAAGTGAAAGGGAAAGTTTTGCAAAACAAATGAAGAAACTGAAGTGCACAAAGGATAGGAAACTTACTCAAGATCGTACTGTCAATAAATATGGACAAGAGATTCGAATCTGTCCCTTGCTCCGAAAGCCAAGGCCTTCTTCCTATACCAGCCCACCTCCATAATTACCAAGAAAGAAAATTTTACTTGATACAGATTTATTAATTTCTGACTCTGTAACAGTACTACATGCCATGAGTACTGGAAAACTATTAGGTGACATAGAAAACAGCACAAACACATACATACACACACACACACACACACACACACACACAAAAAAAAATGTGCATTTAGGTTAAAATATGCTTATATAAGCAAAGCCAAAACATACATAAAAGTATAAATATCAAATTGTTAATATCAAAAGAGTAGAATGGGGAAAGAGAAGATCATTTTTTTTAACTCTGGATATTTATTTTGAATTGAGTCATCATTATTTTTAAATTAATCAATTGTCAATTTTATAAAAGTCCATCCTAGAAAGTATATGATACTCTATGACGAAGTCTGCGCAGCAGATGAAACTGACCTTCAGAAGCTCTCTCTTCTGGTTCGTTCATTAGTGTCTACGACTACACCTCTGACTCAGTCTCTTGCTCAACCTCAGAACGCCCTCTGTGCCATAGGAAGTCTTAGTGTACCATCTCCAACACTTCCCTAACTGCATTCACTAACAAACGAGGCAGCAGCCCAGAATGGTTGAGAATACAGACTCTGGAACTAGACAGGATTGGGTTTGAAATCCAGTTCCAGTACATGCAACCAAAGCACCCTGGACTAGTCTCAACCTATCACAGCACTGACTTTCTCATTTTATAAAGATAATATTATATTCCTTCTGGAGTAGCACAATGTCAGACACCCAGTAGCATTCATCAGAGATCAACTATCATAGAAACTACTCTTGGGACCTTGAGACTTAAGTGCACAAACTAAAACACAGAACAAAGATTAAAATCTCAAACAGTTGTATTTGGTGTATTTAGTGATCTAGAAGGAAAAGATTTGGAATCAAGCTCTAGTTCTCAAAGATACCCCCAATAACTACTATTTTGTGTTTAGTTCAATTTACACATTTATGTTATGTCCTTGCTAAGCATGGGAGTTTTTAGACAAATTAATTATAATTAACACTTTTTTCCTCAAGTTAATCTAAATGTCAAATATTTTAATATAAATCTGATTACTTTCATTAATCATTACAAATTTTTTTTGTTAAAAAATTAGGATTACATAATTAATCATCATCATACGATTACCCCCACATACAAAAATTTCCCTAATTGCTTATAGAAAAAAATGATTAAGCAAGAAACTATTTAGCATTTTATCTACTAAATGCATACTGAGAAAAAGAATCCAAGTCCCATAAATTCCTTAAATTTCTATACATGTCTCAGAAAGATGGCTGAAAATTCCCATTTAAAAAGTACCAATGACACAGACAAAAATTCTGGCTAGCAATGTGTTTAGAATATGAGAAGACTTTCATAAATATTTTTAATCAGATTCCATTTGATCAATATATATTTTGCAGGCATCTAGTTCTCTGGGCCTCAGGCTATTTGTAAAGGTAGCTCTCGCTTTCCCCAATGACGATTTTCTAGTTAGGACTTGTTTTCTAACAAGCGAAGGTAAACATGAAGCTGAGATATAGAGCTTTCTACAGACTCACAATCTATCAGCACCTAAGAAACACACACATGGTCTACTAACCATGGGGGCACACTTATGATGAAATTTAATTCTCAAACAGTAGGTAGTGTCTCATATGTATTGCCTCATTTTCTCCATTAAAATGAATGATTATTTTAACACAATGGTCTTCTCTCACCTCAGAAGTAATTTTGCCTCCCAAAAACATCTAGTAATGTATGGAAACAGTTTTGGTTGTCATGCTGGAGGGCAGCTATTAGCATCTAGTGGGCAGAGACCAGGGATGCTGCTAAACTGATCCTACAATGAACAAAACAACCCACTACAAAAAGGAGTTATCCAACCCCAAATGTCAATAGTTCCAAGAAGGAGAAACCCTGTTTTAGCGATGCATAAACAATAATAAAATCCAAAACTATGGTGGCCAACTTACTAAACAAGCTACACATAATAATTTTTAGAAATCTGACTATTGGGCTTATTGTCAGAATATAAAAATATAATAATGACATAAATATAAATTTTATATAATAATTTAAAATAACAGATAATAATTTCATAATTAAATATAAAAATAAAATATTTGAAAGCCTATCATCAGATTTGTTACTTCTTATAATGTCTCCAACCCTTACAGGTCTTGATACCAGTTTCTTTAAATAACTCTTTTTAGGAGACTCTTTGAATCACATAAAATAGAATCTATTACAACTATAGGAATCAAAAAACAAAACCAAAACATGTAAACTTACCGCTAAGCCCATCAACATATTTTCGCCCACTGTGATCTGAATTCTCAGTCCAAATAAAGCATTCATTCCTTTGAGTTTTAGCTTATTCATTAGCTGAGTATGTACTTCATATTCCATAAATGGCAACAGATTACTGATAGCTGTGGCATTTGCTTCTGCCTGTGCTTTCTTTTTTAAGCGACATAACCTGTTTTAAAAAATAATTTAGTCAGTGGATGATATTTTTGGTACCACCTTAAGAAATTTCCAATTTTTAAAACTGTGTAAGAGTGTGCTTGATAAAACATTTATTGGTTTCAAATGGGCTTATTAAGTTATATCAGTAATCTTTTTGGTCACTTTTTCAATGTATACATTTTTTGCTAAAAATCTTATTTCAATAAGAAGGAAAAAATCTCAATATCTCTAGAAATGAAATAAATACTGATTAAAATTACTAGAGAATATAATTTAAAATCTTAGGTTTCCTAATTCCACATGATCTTATGATGGATAGATAGCAGAGGAAAAAATTAATTTACACATTAAAAGAACATAAAACCTACTTGAGTATCTACCATGTGCCAGGCACTGTTCTAGGTGGTGAGCACTGATCAATGAAAATAACACAAAGTCCCTGTTCTCAGTGAGAGAATAGAGGGGAGGTGGGAATAAACACAACCTCAGACTATGTTTAAGAATCAGGTGTCTGAAGAAAATAAACCAGGTGAAGCGAGTGGAAATAACTAAAGAGAAAGATAATGATACCTGAGTTGGGACTGTAAAGACTAAAACTGGGAGAATTGGATAAAGACAATTATGGAAAGGAGCTGGCATACCAGAAGAACCAAAAGGAGACTATTGTAGCTAAAGTGAAGTGAAGTGAATAAGTACAGTTAACAGTATTATATCAATGTCGATTTCCTACGCGATACTCTACAACAGCTGTATAAGATGTCAACAATGAGAGAAGGTACACAGGACTCTTTATACCATTTCTGTAACTTCCTGTGAGTCTATCACAGTCAAAGAAACAAAACACAATGAACAATAACCAACAGAAAACAGATTTTAGATATTAAAATTATTAGTTAGAGGATCAGCCAGACTATAACACATGATTTGAAAAACAAAACTTCTAGAAATAATAAAATAAATTATCAAAAATTTAAAATTACAAATTATTTGGCCTATCAGCATATTAGAATCAGCTGAAGAGAAAATTTAAAAATTGAAAGAGATAAGAAAGTATGTAAAGTATAGCACAGAGAAACAAAAAGATAGAAAACACAGAAGAGAGTAACGACTTAGAAGAGGCAGTGGGAAAGTCTATCATATTTTGAAGTGGAGAATCAAGAAGAGAGAAGAGATGAAACAGAGGAGAATTAATACCTAAAAATTTCCTAAAACACATGAAAGACACCAATCTACAAATTCAAGAAGCCCAATGTAGAACAATTAAGATAAAGATAACTCTGTACCTAATATTTCATAGGAAACTGCAGAAAACCAAATACAAACAGAATAGTTTACACACAGCCTCAGTAAAAACCAAACAATACTTTCAAAGGAACAACAATTAGTCTAATATATTATTTCTCAACAGTAGCAATGAAAGCCAGAAGGCAGTGGAAGGGTATCTTCAACATGCTGAAATAAAATAACGGCCAGACCAAAATATCTTTTAAAGATAAAATAAATGCATATATAGACAGGCATTCATCACTATCGGACCCACCAAAAGAAATACTGAAGTATATACCTCAGGCAAAAGAAAAACAATCCAAAATGGAAAGGCCTAAGACTCAAGAAAGAATAAGACAAAAGGAAATGGATTACAAACATATTTTAGAAGAAAATGCAACATAACTTTGTAACTCTGAAGTGAGGAGGTTAGGAAAAAGGGCAGAGTCAAAGAATACCATATTTGACACCAAGAACTGGATAAAACAAGGTATCATTTATTAAAAAAGAGAAGGCTAATATGAAAGAAGTGAAGAAAATCAGCAGTTCAATTTGGAACAAGTATGTGATGCCTCTGACACATCAAAATGGGGTCTGAAGTACACAAGTAAGTATATGAGTCTGCAACTCAGAAGAAAGTTCTGGACTGAAGTTATAAATCTGGAAGTCAAAGACACAAAGGTAGCATATAGACCTATCAAATGATGAATTCAACTAGGGAGAGAGCTTTGAAAAGAGGGTCCAGACCCATGGCTCTCAAGGATCAAGAAACGAAGAGAAATCAACAAAGAGACTGGAAACTATACACAAAGGTAGGAAAAGGCAGAAGGTGTGGCACTGTGAAGTCAAAAGAGTTTCAAGGAGACAACGATCAACTTGAATGAATATTGCTGAGATGGCAAGTAAGATGAGGACAGAAATGCTCAATTGAATTGGTCACCTGGCAGTTGTTAGTGACCTAGACAGTTAGTTAACAGCTGCTTCCTATATGCCTACCACAACTGAATATTGCCTAACTGCAGTACATTTTAAAAGGAGCTTTTAACAGTTAAGTGAAGTAGTAAAAGAAATACTACATAGCACTGTTATTTAAAAGAAAACATCAACTTCCAAAATGTATTACATATTTAATTTCATTCATGTATACTGAGTCACATCCCTAGCCTGCAACAGGTTAATTAATAATTCTCACAATAACAAGCATTTATACAGAATTTAAATGTTTAAAACAAATATAGACATATTTGAGCTTTATAAAGAGGCTATTTTCCCTCCCAGTTTTTCATACAATAAATTAAGAGGTTCGGATAGAACTGCCCAGCCTGCCCAGGATCCCACAGATAAGAAGGAAACAGTAGAGCAGATATTTGAAAATAGGTCGATTCAACTCCATAGTCCATACTCTTTCAGGGATGCCAAATACCGTTTTCGCAAACATACCTTGCTTGAATTAGACAACCTTTTCCAATAACTGTTGCATCTGCTGGGAGGTCTATAGTTGTAAAGAGAACATCAGGAACTTTCTGTTTCCTGCAGTTATAGCAATATGTGAGATGAGCTGGAAATGGCATATTCAGTTCATCATACGGTATATGGCAAAATCCACAGCCTGCAGGCAAATTTTCTTCTAGCCTATGTAAATAATTAAGAAAAAAAAAATAAGGCATTCTTGAAAATTCTGTGCTTTTTTCAAAAACATATATTGTATACACAGTACTTGTGCACAAACTACGTCATAGCTTCTACCACAGTAGGTGGTTAAGAGCACCACTATGACTGATAAAAATTACAAACGACAGTGAAATGGTAACCATACACTTTCCTATGACAGAAAAGGCTTATACAAGTAGAAAGTGATTTTGCAACAATTCTTATGTGTGGTGGCTACCACCTGACAAAAATCACTATTATTTCAAAGTTTTTTCTTTGAGATACAGCATAAATATAAATGTTTAGACAATAAGGGTGACATTTTTTTACTGTCTGAGAAATATAACACAAATATAATTTTAAAAATTTTCTAAGAAAAAACATTTTTTAACCAATCTGAAAATAAATTTATGGTTAAAAACAAATCTATTTAAGAAGAAAAAAAAATTAAGTCAAAATAGGCACACTCTAAAATTTCTAATTTCCAAAGGCTGTTTTAACATTTCTGAGAAACCAAAAACCTGTTTCATAAAAACATTCATATCATACAAAAACCTCAAATAACCCACGACCTTCCCATTCACTGCAAAATGTCTGTTGTAATACGCTGTTTACAAACTCATTTTAGAATAAGTATTTTTTCACTCATTAAATCTGAGGAAGTCAGGAGAATTGATAGAGAAACAGGAAGTTCTGGGGAGAACTTCAGACTTTCACCTAGCCACATCATCTAGGGCTCTGGAAAGATATGGGTTCTCACTTCTTTCTAAACTAAAGCAACCTTTCAGAAATTGAAACTTGGCAAGAAGACAAATTTTAAAAAAGAAACTCATACTATCACTGAATTTTCACAACCCTTTAAATCAAAATTAATTTACTCCCAGATACCATTCTTTTATTGTTGAGATAGCATTCTGCTATATTAGAAGTAAAAGGGAAATCAGAAGATCTGAGTGAAGCTATGTGACTTTGAACAAGTTATTTAACCTCTCAGAGACTCTTCTATAAAGTGGGAATTGCAATCCACCTAAAAAGGTTCTTTTCATTTTTATTTTTTGAAGAATAAGAAAACTACAGGCAAACACAAACGACCATCCCACCACCACCAATATCAAGCCCAGCCAACAACAACAAAAAACTAATAATGTCACTTGGCCTGAAACCAACCTGAGTTACACTAAGCACTAAATAGGAGACCTCAAATTTTAATGCCAGTTTGTTTAAATCTAAAGCCCATGTGTTACAAGGGGACAGAAAAGGATAAAACCTGAAACAACTTTTAACTAAACACCTCACAGAAGTTTGAACAGTGGTGCAACATCGTAACACATAAAAAATAAAAGTATTAAAATTTATGAAAACATTTCAAATAGAAATGTACAAAAGAGACTGTCTAAATATACTGAGTTCACAGGGAATTCTTCCTTTTATTCTCCTATATTTTCCAAATTTTCTCCAGTAAACAGAAGTAATTTTACAGCAGAAAAAAAAAAGGACATTTTTCTCTTTTACAAATAGAGATGGTATCTGTTGCATTGGACCACCATACAAGAGAATTCACTATATCCATCCAAGCCACAACACTGAAATAACCTAGCTGCATGGGAAAGGTCATTTGTTAAATTAGGCTTCTTGGGAGAGGGGAAGGAGATTGGGGTAAAAGTGGTCAAATATATGGTAATGGAAAGAAATTTAACTCTGCGTGGTGAACACACAGTGCAATACACATATGACATATTACTGAGTTGTACACTTGAAACCTAATGGTTTTATTAACCAATGCTGCCCTAATAATTTTAATTAAAAAAAAGTTAAAATTCTATCTACTCTAGAATGAAATCTACCAACATGTGTGAGAACTATATTGTATCACTGGGAGAACTCACTGGCAAGGTCAGTTTTCTCAGTAGAACATTCCAATGTACTTCAAATGTTCCACTTTCACTTCCCTATTTATGATGACTTACAATTCTCTAAAATATATTATGGTCAAAATGCATTTTTAATACTGACAAAAGACACTGACCAAAGTATTCTGTGTGTCTACCACAGCAAAAATATCTGTTATACAGACTTACAAATTTGCACTAAATTTGATATATAATTTTTTTTGCTTTTTTCTTTAATAGATACTAATATACTAATACTAAAAAAAAATTTTTTTAAGCAAATATGCATACTATGGGGTAGGGGTAATTAAAATTTACATTATTCAAGTAGACTCTGGAACCAAACTAATAGTTTTCTGCATATTTATTTGATAATTTCATCTGTTCATGGAAAGCATTTTGACATTTATGGAAGCTAACAGATTAAAGGGACCAATAATCAAATAAGCCAAAAAGTAATTTCATTTTACTTAATACTTTCATTTTTACTTTCTATTTTACATATGTTAAAGTTATATTTCACTTTCCATGAAGCTTTTATATATAATTTTGGTACAATATAGTGTTTTGATTGTTTTATAAATGAAGACTTTTCTATATGAAAACTGTTTCATGGCCTTTTTCTGTTTTGCAAGTGAGACAAAGGGAAAAGAAAGAGACAAATCAAATTTAAAAATTATTTCTATAATGTTAACAAACAAGAAAATGTATCCTTGAAATTCTTCAATTGGTAGTTATACATGTCACTTATCAAGTATGTCAATTATAATGTGTGTCCTGTAATGCAAATTCTAATATTTCTCTGTTGCTGTATTATGTAAAAGTCAGTAAAGGGCCTGACACTGTACCACTGTAGCCCACCCTCAAGGAGAATTATCTCAGTTCTGAAAGAAAAACAGTCAACCTCTCTCCCTTCTCTGCCCTTATGGAAAATAAGCCAGGCTGCCATGACAACCTCTGTTCCAAACAGCCCTCCACAGTGCCATCGTGCAGAAATCTAGGGTTCAGTACAGCTGCTGTGCCGGATGCAGATAAAATACAGACCTCTTCACTATAAAAGAAAAAAAAATAAACAAGTTAACATTTTCAGACAATCTAACTTTGGAAAATGTTAACTATCAAAGTAATCACAAGTGTGACAATTTAAATTCAGGTTAAACTCTATTAAACATTAATAACATTACAGAGTTACCTCTTAAACCTAGGAAAGAAAACAGAAGTAATATGATGTTATTAAAGTGGAGAGGGCAAGAGTTCTTTATTACTTAAAAATTGTGAAAGATAAAGTATAATATTAATAATAGAGTCCTTTAAAATATGGTAAAGCTGATAAAGACTAGAATGTTTCAAAATAAAAGTAGTTACAAACCATACTGTTGAATCCAGCAATAACTCATTCAACTGTATTAAAATACTCTTTGAATACACATTAAATTTTACTTAAATTATTCTAAAAACACAACTACGTAAATATTGCTATAACCTAATTTGAATTTAATATTAAAAAGGTATCTGAAACAATATCCAATATATACTAAATGGAACTTAAACTACATCATGATATATATGTTAAAACTTGATATTCAAAAGAATTCTTTGAAACTCTTTATTATATATCACCCAATTTGAAAGCCAAAAAAGTAAATAGTCAACACAATTAATCGAAAAGATCACCTAAAGCAAATGAGAAAAGCAGCAGCCTAGGGACAAAACACTGGAAACGAAGTGTAAATGAACCAGAAGCCTAAGAGAACATGAAAGAAATGGTCACTTGATTTGTAACTGAGTACACAGAGGCCAGGCTTAAAATGTTTAAGTGGGCACTGAGAATGTCAGAAGGAATAACGTGGAGCCACTGAAGGCACTTAGTCAAGGAGCTACAAGAGCAGAAGTGCGCATCATAAAGAGTTTAACCTGGTAATAGTAAGTAGGATGGCTTAGAACCGAACAAATTATTAAAGAGGAGATTTAAATACAATGAATTTTTTGAGGTCCAAAGGAAAAAAAAGACTGTCAGATGAATTCGAACTTCTAAGTAAATTAATTGGGCTCATTTCTGTAGAATCTTGCATCTGTGACACATCTCTGTCTTTCTCCATATGCTGTTCTTTTAGCCTTGAACACTTTTCCTATGCCTTTTCTCTTCATTTATATAATTTATACTCATTTTACAAATTTCACTTTAAACTTCAGTTATTTCATTAACACTTTCTTCCAATCCTACCTCTAACCTCTAACCCTCTGGGATTCCAAAGCATCTTAGGATCCATAATAAAATATGTTATACTTGTCATAATTCTCCAGGAGAATGTGAATCTCATGGCAAGAATAATGTCTTTTAAAACCATATCCGTAGGACCTGGAAGTGTATGACACTAAATCCATGAATGAAGCAAGACTATCTACTACGGAGTAAGGCAGGATAAGCATAATAAAGTCAGTGGTTTAGAACAACTACAATGGGATTAGAAAGTTCAAGAGTAAAATACATGGTCTACAAAGAGAAAAAAAGGGTCCTCAGAAGATGAAATAGCATGGCTCTGCGGTGTCCATATTTACTACAATCTAATCATATTTCTCTAATAACGATCACCACAAGCGCAAGAGAATTATCCATGAAATACTTGGCAGCAAGCATTACCCAAGAGTAGAAGGTAGAAAAATAGTAGAAGGCCAAACAGTTTCTAAGTAATATCTATTATAAACTTTTAAAGGGATTGATAGTAGGGGTTCAAAGATGGCCGACAGCAAGTAAAGTCAGAACCTGAGTAAGGAAAACTCTTGGTTTAAGATAAGGGTCAAAATAAACCAGGTGTAAATGAGCAAACAATATGGGTGAAAAAATATTAAGCTGGGATCCAATAATGAAATTTCACAGTTTCAAATTTTTAAAAGTCAATAGTTTCGAGTGATAATGAGGTCCAAAACATGATTTGAAGCCAAGAGGACAAGAAAGTCAGAGGACTTAAGAATGAGAAGTACAATGCCAGGCTGTCAGAAGGAAGATAGTCATGTTTCACTGAAGGAGTGGCAGAGGGATTGAGAAAGGCAGAATAACGTTTTGGAGGTAGAAAGTCGGAACTGTGGAATAGTATGGACTTTAAAGAGGAGAAGTTGTTTGAATGAAAGGTAGGAAAACAAGGTTTTGAGAATTAAGAGTATGGAAGTCCCTGCATTACTTGGCAGCGTTAGGAAGGACGATTTGTTCGCAGGAGAAAGGTAAGTTACAATTAGTAAAAGAAGGTAGAAAGGGTTTAGAGATGAACTTTAAAGACACAAGGCAGCTCATTTACAACAGAACGAAGGTTTCAAAGATCTGAGAGGAAGGAGTTAGCAGAGTCACAAACTGGAGTAAAATAGGCCTAGAGTTAATACTTGCTATGTGCCACTATTATGTTCTCATTTAACTCCTCAATAATCTTGATAGGTGATTATCAACTCTATTTCATTGTATAACTTGAGGCTCAGGGGTGCAGAGTAACTTTCTCAAAGTTTCATAGCAATGCAGTGGCAAAAAATGCATATGAACCTCGCCTCGGTGTGATGTACTCTAAAGCCCATGCTCCTGGATCATTCCACTATTTTTTTCTCTATATTTGCATAAGGCTTTTCCCCTTTCAGATGACAACCTGTAAATTACAGCATCTAGAAAATCAAGTTGTTATCATTTACCAGATGCTAGTTGATTCACTGTAGCCCACTACAGCATGACAGCCTAAAGCTTTAGCATGTGATTTTATTTCTTGTCTGATTTCTGCCCACCACGCATCTCGAGTTTCTGGTTCATCTGAAAAATAAATTTTACATCAGTTCACTACTCAATAGCACATGTCTAAATGAACAAGAAATGTTTAAAATAAACATATTCTGGGAGGCAAAGAATTACTGTTTTACAAATTTTGAAACATCATATATTTAAAATGCTACTTCTCCAAAAGCTTAACATTTTAGTTTAATGCTACTTCTCAAAAAGTTTAACATTTTAAACTTGATTGCTAGAAAATAAACCATCTAGTTCTATTTACTTTATTACTTTAAGGGACATCTATAGAAACGTATTTTATTCGGTACAACTTAAAATGTAGACCCAGACTTTCCAGATTCTAATCTTAAACTGAGAGGATATCCTATATCTCACCTCGCTGAGAATACGCCTTATGAGTCATAGTCATAAATTTAATTTAAATTCTGAGTTCATTTTTTATAACCCAACATATTCTGGGTTCTTTCCAAGGCAAAGAAAGATTGGTTGATGTTAAAAAAGAGAAAGTTATCTATAGCCGTCTTAAAGCAAAGTGACGAGAAACAAAGGGACTAGCCAATTCAAAATAAAATAAACAATACACTTAAAGAGTTAATACAAATAATTTGGCTAATGTATACCAGAACAAATTTCAGATAGAAAACTACTATAATTTCATGTATGGCTCTGTAATTAAGAAAATGCCTTAGAATCACAGAACTGTATTTTAATACCATAGAGGAGTCCAATATTGATTGTAATGGAGCATTATAAATGGGGCATCTGTCACACATACTTCCTAATCACTTGCAGTCAGCTGCAAACTACTGGTGAATAGCAGCTGTGAATTATAGTAACTTTTTATGTCAAAGGTGTCAAAAACAGAAACAGTCTATAAACAGTATATCCTAATTTGTTTCTTTTCGTTGCCAATTCCATTTGGGAACAATTTAAAATAGAAAAACCTCAACCAACTATAAATAGGATGCTAAATTCCTACTGTAAATTTTCTATAAAAAGGCACTATTAAAGCTAAAAATCAAATAATCCCAAAACTCTAATTCTTAATTTTGGTGTATATCGTTTTCAAAGTATGTTTTAAAAATAAGGAGAATAAGTAGAATTATACTCACTAGTAAAATACTGAAGACAGCAAAGTAAAGAAAAATTAAAAGGTTTATTTTAGCTCACATTTCTATGATGTAATTTTGATTCCTCCACAGGGAGGTGTTCAGCAAAAAGAAGAAATGAAGAGATAAAAGCCAGAACTACAAATGATTCCAGCCAGTTCTTGAATTAAAGTTTTGGTAAGACAGAGCTACCCTAAAACTTTTTCAGAAGAAAAGAAAGAAATGCAGACTCCAGGAAACTGAGGAAAGGATCAAAGTATGAGATAAAATAAAGAAGGAAGAAAAATAGAAAAGACTACGATATGGTGTTAGCAATCAACATTATGAAGTAAATGCGAGACAATTAGGTGGCCTTATTTTGCACATACACTATTATGTTAAAGAATTTCTTCATATGCCTAACTGAAATGCAGACATTAACAGCACAAATACACTTTTTAAGTCCATTCTCTCTTTTTCTTTTAAGACATACATGTTTCTAGACCAGTTTGGATATCTATTTAATATCATCCTTTCCTAACAGGGAATTTTTATATCATAAGACAAATTATTACTTAAGTAGTTGCTAAATCTATCAACTTATTTGATTCTTTGAAAACAGATATCACAAATAATATATTTATCAGTTTAGAAAATAATTATTTTTCTGAAAAACCATGTAAAATAAAGTCTTAACTTTTCTTAAATCCACTAGTAAGGCCTGCTTTTTACTTTTTAAATCATTCTGGAAGTTTAAAATATTGCTTGCTAAAATAATTGTATACTACATTTTTAAAAAATAGATTTTCTCACATTATGCATGCCTATATCTATGCTACAAATAATACATGGTAGCTTTTCTCTTTTAAAATGAATTTTACAAGAAGTAATCCATGACATTGTTTTTTAAATTAATGAAAAATGGAGGAAGCCACTTAGTTTAAGTTCAATATTATTTACTTAAAAATAGCCAGCATGTCTAAATGGAAAAGTATGTAATAATAATTACTATGAGATACATGTAATCACATAGAATACAAAGTTTATTTACATCAAACTTACCTTGGTATAACACATAAAATAATCAGATAATTAAACCAAACACTATGAAAGAATAGGTGGCTGATTAAAAAAAAAAAAAAAAAAAAAGCTGAATGCAGCACAAGTGGAGCATTCATATTCTTCTGACAAGGTTACAAGCAGCCTTTATTCTGACACACGAGCCACACAGTTGCACATGGGGATGCCATTGTTGTATTTATTTACAAGTTTAATAAAAGCTAAAGAGTTACATAACATGGGAGCTAAGGAAGCAAATGGCGTATGTCCACACTCCAAAGAATTTCTTAAATTTGGTTTTTGGCTAAAGCAAAAGCTCAAAGAACGAAGGGTTTTGCAAAGCAGATTCAGCAGACAGGAGCCAGAAACAGTGGATATTTTGGCGCATGCTTGGATCAGGTGACAGTACAGACTGAAAACTATGGCAGCTCACTGAAATGGTTACAGAAAGTAATGGCCCTAGATTCTAGGTGAAAGCAAGGCAAGCATACAGTAGGGAGCACTTAATCACAAACTAGTAATTGGATTAACAATAATTATCTATAACTATAAGCAAAAAGCCAAAGGATGAATTTTTTGGTTATTAAATTTAGGGATTATTTAATTAAAATAAAATTAAGGTTAATTTATTTAATATTAAAGAAAAATTTTAACTTATCTTCAACACCTACATCTTATGCCAGAGATGAGCCAGAGAAAATTCAAGTAGTAATTATGACTAACTTATTACAACTGAAAATTCAGAAATACCATAGTATTTAATCTTATAACGGAATTTTGAAAGCTTAAAAACTGCTAACTATATCTTATAGGAAACACACTAGTGAATTTGAATTGTTTTATTCATCCTACATAAGTCAAAATTGAGGATCTACCATACTTATATAAAAGGCAAAAGGGTCTGGCTTAAAAATTTATGGCAACTATACATGCCAGACATGAAACTGGATAAAATTTAGTCATTTGGAAGATATACAGTTAAGATGTGAGGGTCACAACTGATAACATTTCAGAGGTGTTAAGAAAAAAATACCTTCACGTTAAATACCACGCTCCTCCCAAATCTATAGTATTTATAACTATGAAGATATAATTTTAGGAGTATTTATAATTTACTTATAAAAATTATATTTCATACTATTTTATGTTTTTCTTCTATGGGTCAAAACTCTTCATAGATAATATCACAAATCTTTTAATATGTCCTTTTAATGGTAGGCATGAACTGAGCTCTAGATTAGTACTTCACCGATGCCTCTTTTAGGGGTAATGTCTGCATACTTGGGTTGACATCATAAGCAATTCATTTTACTAATGTTACTTTTCTAGTGTATGGCCATAGCTTTATATCTTGCCATCTTTTTAGCATTTTATTTTGTTTCTGAAATGCAGGTGAATCTGGTAAAGATTTCTAAAATAACAAAAATCGTTTATATCTCAGAAAGTATGCCTTTATCAAACTCAATCTCTGTGAGATTTTAGGCAATCACACACTTCCAACTAAGAAATACCGAGTACTTAAAGTGTTAAACTTAGTTCTATTTTTACATAGCTCTAGAAAAGAATAACTCTGCCCTTAAGAATCTTTTAATCTGTTTGAAAGGAAAAAGGAAATTTTTTAAATGAATAAGAAGAGATAAACCATTAAGTAGGATCAAATAAAGGTGTGTAATACAATGATATTCTACCTTGTTAATAGACAGCACAAAAAGCTACATTCTCAAAACAATCTTTGAAGAAGAGAGATTTCTCCTAACGAAACTGAAAGTACAGAGTTTAGGGTCAAGGGAGTATACAACCTCAAACTGGGTGAAGATTCAGTACCAGACCAATAGAAAGATTCTTATTACATAGGGAGTTATGTGCAAATTCAGAGCAAACATGAAGATGTAGTAATTTGGGATGTTAGGATGGCAGCTGAGATATAATTCATGTTGGACCAAACTGGAGTTCTTTATTATTTGTTTAAAAAAACGGATATGTAATCTCTTTATTTGTAAAATTTCACTCTTTACATATATATAAATGTAACTAGAAACAAGTTACATTATGTTACATTATATATGCAGAAAATAATATATTACATTTACACGTTACATTATAATAATGTAATGAATATCGAGTTATAGTTTGTATATATGTAAAGAGCAAAATTTCACAATTAAAAAGATTACATATCTGATTTTTTTATAGATAGTAAAGAGTAGGTAGTAATATCCAGTTATATTATATAAAGAAAATTATATGTATATTTATGTCACTTTACATATAAAAAGTTCACATAGCATATATGCTATATTTATGCCTTCTTGAATTCTATATAGCAACATTCTGAAAACCTTATTAAAATACTAAAAAAAAAAAGCTGCTTAACTATTTCAGGCTTAGTTTACACATCTGCTCATGTGTACCTCTCAGACGTAGTAAAAAAAATAAGTGCTGAGATCATCATTGAATTCAAGTTCCAGGAAAGTCTATCTTCATTTAACTAATACACACAACACACACACACACACACACACACACACACACACATGCACACACCAAAAGAGTATGAGAAATAGCCTAGACCAGGTATGTAAATAGAATGTTTGCCTAGCTGAAAAATCGCGTTCCCAATCCCCAATACTGTGCTCAATATATGGCAGGCACTCCATGAATACCCACTGAATAAAAGGCTTTTACTTAAAACTAAAAACAAAATTTGAATGACTGGACTAATAGTGTATATTCCATAAATATTTCCTTAAATATCACCTGACTCAGTACTTTTCAAACAATTATATAACTACTTTATATTTCTTCTTGTCACATCCTGAAAAAAATACCTAAACTGACATTCATCCATACAAAGAAAATAACAAATTTTCCTCAACT